ATCGTATCTGTTCATGTAAGAAAAACTAAAAAATATGTGAGGGGAACAGATTGTATTGTCATTGTAAACTAATGTACACGTGTCTCTCAATAAAAATATGAGAAAAAAAAGAAACTAGGCCCCAGGACCATTATCCACCATCTGTCTGAACCTTTGATAGAAGACAAAAACTTTCCAAATTCCTACCCTGCCATCTGAAAGTCTCAGCAGAAATCGAGGCACCACACTGGGTAGTCTTTTTCCAATCTTATTTGTCCAGTTTTGGTGAGCCTGTGCCAACTGCAGTCGCAGTTTACTTTTCTTACCTGAAAAAAGTGGTATGATCATCTTTAACATGTTTACACATTTAAATTAATTGAGTTTATGCCATTTGATTAGCTGATTAGATATTTGTAATAAGAAGCAGTTCAACAGGTGGATGAGTGAGTATATAGTGGAAAGAAATTACACCCCTACTGTTTTATAAGAAGAAACAATGATGTTGACTGTATTTAACTTATCTGCTCCTGATTTCATGCTCTAAATCTCCCCCCGCCAGGTATCACGCGTACAGAAAAGGACAAAGGTACGTTGTACGAGCTGACCTTCAGAGGGGAGTCAAGTAATGAATTCAGACGCCTGGTCCTCTTCCGGCCCTTCGGACCACTCCTGAAGGTGAAAAACGAGAGAGTGGACACAACCAATGTGCTCATCAACATCATCGTCCCGCTCTCCCGACGCACGGACAAGTTCAAGCAGTTCATGCACAACTTCAGGTGAGTTAGATGTTTTGACCTGCAAAGTCGACAGACAGATGCGCCCCTATAAATTATTCATGGCGGCTCTTTCTATCGCATGTTACTAATTCAGAAAAATGCGATACTCAGTGTTATTCAAACCAAGTTTCAAACTTTAATTAAGGATCAACCAGACAGAGACAGGGGCTGAGGAGATTAGAGGGAAGAAAATTAACATCAGAGAGATTTTATTTTTACTTTTTTTGGGAGGGGGGCATGTAATTAACATTTTTGAAACTGCATGCGTTGTCTTATCAGTTAATTTATTTTGCTGCTGGTAGGCATAATCTGAATGTAAACAAATCTGAGAGACTTAAAATGACTCAGACCAGAACATGAATAAAGATGTTCTCGGTGATCACAGCCACTTTTGTCACCTCATTACCATAGGGAATCTATTTTCATACACACTTTTAACGCGTAAAACTAACACCTCAAACACACCGCACTGTAGCTTCAACCACAAGTAGAGCCGAGCGGGTGCGCGCATGACACAAAATCACAACAGATTTTTTCTTTAAGAAAAAGGGTCGGGGTTAATGGAGTTTTCTAAGGTGAAAATAAAATGAGTCATTTCCATAATTTTTGTAATAATTCACACTCACAGCTCTCAAATCTAATCACCTGAGAGCAAAACATGCTTGGTTCAGCCCTGCAGCCCGTCAAAGCTGAGGAAATGTCTTCCTTAATGTCTGTGATTTATTGTGCTGCTGCTGCTGCTGCTTATCACAGCTCTTTTTACATGGTAAATCCTACTTTAGTGGCAGTGTTGCAGCCCATTAAAATGCCCCCCTGGCAGACCAGCGGTACTTGATATACAGCACGGCAAGGAGTGTACTTACTTGAAAGACTTGGGGAGTCGCTGAGCAAACACTTCACCCTCATCTATTATAAAAGTGCACTGAGTAAGAGAAGAGTGAGTGTGTGTGTGTGTGTGTGTGTGTGTGTGTGTGTGTGTGTTCGAGATAACATTGGGTAAATCCATGCTTATTATGAGTTCTTTGTCCACAGTTGGACTTGAAGATATGCTTAATATATTAAAAGGAAAGACTATGGAGATAAAAAGTCCTGCTTGTGAGATTTGTTTGTATGCAGGCAGATTTTTAAATTGATTTCTTGCTTTTTACACACTCAAATAATTAAGAGATGGGTTTTTGTCTGCTCCGTGGCCCCAGCACAGAATTAGACTGTCTCATCAGATCCCAACAAAAAATCAATTTATTCCAATTTACTTCTAGACCAACATTTATAGAGGGCCTTTTATGCGACATCAATAATTGCAGCAAAAATGTTGGCTCAATATTCCCCGCACATTTTTTTCCAAGCATTTTTGCCTCATGTTGTGTGCTATGAATGCTATGAATCGCCTGCCCTAACGTCCCTTTGGGGAAGATGTTGACAAACTGCGTGTGCACATCTGCGCATTTGCATGCGTACCTCGTGGGAGAGGTGAATTATCTGCAGCGTGTGCTTGTGATATATTTGACACGTCTCCATCAAAGAGCCTTCAGGCATCTCCACCTGGTGTCTGTTTTACTCACAATAAGAGCTTCCTCTGTGTGTTAACACGGGGTCAAAATGGGGGGAAAGCCTTGAATACAGATCCAAACGATGAATTTTATTTCCTTTTTTAGAATAAATCATCAGGAAATACTGAATGTTTAGGTTCCAAGATCCAGTATTCAGTCTGCTGGCCAAAGCCCAAAGAAATTCAGCTTTATAAAGCAGAAATCAGAAAATACTTGGCTCTTATGATGAACTACTTAAGCAGCGATTCACTTCATTATTACAGTTGTTGTGTTTTGGCACTGCATGGATAGATCCTCCAACCAAAGCTGTATTTTTAAAACCCCTCATGTCCTCTTCCTTCCTGCACACCCCCAAATCCCATTCTCCTCACACACTTTCATCCTTAATATCGCTTCCTTTGCATGTTTGTGTTTATGTACAGGGAAGTCTGCGTGCATCAGGACGGCCGGGTTCATCTGACGGTGGTGTATTTTGGGAAAGAGCAGATGAGCGAAGTCCAGAGCACTCTGGAGAACACATCCAGGTGGGTTGGAAGTGGAGCCAAGAAGAGGTCTTTGAATTATAATTCCCAACACAAGAGTATGAAATGCAATTTACATAATGAAGTGAACGCAGCCCCAGCCGTGTAGCCGCTTTTGGAACGCGCTGTAGAAATGTTTCCACTGTTTCAACTCTTACCCTATAAACATTTCCTTGGTGCACAAAGCGCACACACCTCCTGGCTCGCCATTCTGGCACAGCCACTCATCTGTCTGATAAATAATAGAGCAGTGTGCCACCCATGCCGGGTAGCTGAGAGCTACCAGCCAGCACAGATAAATTACAACAAGCCTGTGATCCTGTTGCCCTCTCGCACGGACACCCACATCTCTCGGAGAGGGATCGCTGTCGCCCAATCGGGAGTCAGATCCACTGCGCCGCAGATTCCCTGAGGGGGTTGCTATGGTGACACTTGTCGATTCCCCAGCCTTGAAGGTTTTTGTGTGGCCTTGAATCAGTAGGACTATCACCGGGATCACACAGCGTGTCTTTGTCTCACCGTGCTGAGAGGAAACCGTGGAGATTAAAAAAAAAGATAGCATTGCACGGTCTTAGAGCAAAGTGTCAGATCAAGTGTAAAGAAGGCAAATTTAGAACCTGTGAATGTGGAAAGGCAGACACAAAAAACATACAGTTAACCCGAGGCCTCGTTGATTTTAGTGTGGGAGCCTTCTTAAATAAGTGACAGTGAAAGTTTGTACAAAACAGAAATTGAAAAGAGTTGGAGCTGAAGGTGCAGTCTGGGAAAGAACGGCATTAAATAAACTGGAATTTCCGGTAGTTTTTCTGCTTTGAACTTCCGTCTCTTTGTACTCTTCTCATTCTACTGTATTCCTGAGCTGTGTGGAAACATATCTGGGTGTGAATCACTGGCTGTAATCAAGCCTGCACTCCTCTTCCCTTTTATCTAACATTCAGGCTGTGGTTGAAATGACTGGGAATTATCATGGCTTGTTGTTCTCGTATCTGGGATCTGACACAGACAGACTAAGCACAGATACAATAAAATGTAACCTTTAGCTTGCAAGGAGAGGTGCACGTCCGTATGTGTTGCTGCAGGTAATGATTTATTTTTAAGAGTTAAGCATTATTCTTTTTTTATAAGTGGACTGGAGTCTATAAATGCCAAGTATAGTGACAGAATTACATCCCAGCTCTAATCTGACACTTTAACTGTTGTCACCCATTTATAGCGTACATGAATGGACTGGTGTTGGAAATTAGCTTTAACTATATAATACCCTGCTCACTGCTTTTAAAACTGTCAGGGTTTTTTTTTTTTTTTTTTTTGTACAGCTATAAAGATTAGATGAATTTACATAAACTAGTACATGGCCACGCAGCAGCATTGTTTGCTGTGTTTGTGCAGTTGTTAAGCTAATCACTATGAGAAAAGTCAAAAATAGCAGTGGTACTTCCTGTTTATATAAATAAATAGATAAATAGAGTCACTCTGTGCAAAATGGATTTACATCTGTGTAATTAAGGGACCACATCAACCAGTCATTGTCTGGTTGTCTAAAAAACAAGTGTATTTGTTGTACAGTCATCATCCAAACACTGCCCACCCCCATTAAGTGTGTAATAAATTATTGGTATAATAACTTTCATCATGATTGCATAGTATGATATCTATGGGTAAACCATATATATCATACATCTAAAACATGCATCTTAAAAATGCAGGAAATGAAATGTTGGAAGGAAAGATGAGCTGGGCTAAATCACATGGCTTGAATTCTGTATAGCTATATTTTAGACTTTTCATATAGTCTATAAATACAGTGAATATAGTAAAATGATGTTTTACATAGGCAGACAACTATTCTCACTCACATACACACCTGTAGCCAATTTAGAAGCACACATTTACCCAACATGCAAATGCAAAGGTGAAGTGCAGAGAGAACCCAGGCACTGGGAGAGCGTGTAAACAGCACACAGTAAGGCCAGCCAAACACAACACCTTCTTGTTATGAGACCATGGTGCTAACCATCACGCCACTTTGTCATGAAATCAAAATGACACAATGCTTTTATAAAGTGTCATAGATGCATAATTGCTATAAATGCACCATTTTAGCCCTTTGGTAAATGGTTGCCTATATCAGATATAGAAATGAACCTTCAGGGGTTTAACATTTACCTTTTTGCCTATTTTGGTTGCTCAGAAATTGGCAGTGTAGAAGGATTTACCAGGTAACCAAACAGACAGGTTGATACCATGAGGTAAACATTAATGTTAGCATGCTAATGATGCTAGCATGCTTTTATGTTAACCAATATACTTTAACATTTTAGGGTTAACATCTCCTCACTAAACACAAAGCACAGCTAAGCCCTGATACATGCAGTTATACAAGGATTTAATTAAAGAGCAAGGTGTCGCAAATCTTCTAAGCTTTTTTAAGCTAAATAACATCTCCCAAATGTGAGCTAATGCTTATTTTATTTTTCCGTTTTTTGTTTTTATTAATTTTTTTCCTTTATACATACATAGCTCCGACTTACAATAGTACTTTCTAAGTACATTATATTATATACCCTGCAACATTTTCTTATTTTCTTCAGTTTATCCAGATTCCACCCTAAAAACCAAGTCAAGGAGAGGACTGACCAGAGGGCTGTTTCTGTAAAACGAAACTGGTTCACACAGAGCACATGCCTTAATTGGCCAGCAAGTCAATATCTGTTTGCAGCATGTTGGCATCATTAGCGACTGATAAGATTCTGCACTTCCAGCAAATTCAATTTAACACTATAACTTGGTTTAGTTTGTCACATATCACCTCTAGCTATTTGTCTTGGAGTTTTTTTGTTTTTTCTATTAAATCACATTGCAGTCACACTCCCCACTTTTAAATAGCGCTGTGTCCCTGCTCAAATTTGTTTGGGAAGCATTTACATGACTACCCACAGCCAATATAAACTACTTGAGGCCAATTTCCCAAGAGCCTAACAAGATCTAAATTGTCCTGGCTCTCAGGCAGCTTTTCAGCCCATATCAACCTCTCTACATGGTTTAAATTATTACCTTTTTTTTTTTACTGCAGGTGATCATTATTTAAGAGTATACGTATTAAAAGTCAGTATAAAAGTATTTGCTATTAAAAAGCAAGATTCCAGAAAGCAGGGCCTTACTCTCCAGCGATTCTGTCTTTTTTTAAACATACAGAAAATCAGTTGCAGCTTTCAAATGTGGTTCTTCACACATGCACACTTCAAAGCCTAAACTCAGACTCAAACCAACAGGGCCTTGTATGTTTTCGAGCCTTACATGCTAGAAAATAATGATTCAACACAACATGAGTGGAGCAGAAACCAATGGAGACGGAGACGGAGAGGGGGGCGGATTGTGTGTAAAGGATGGAGAAGAATGAGTGATCTGTTCTGTGGAGATACCAGTCGATACATATGAATAATTACTGTGTTTCAGATGCAGAGGGGAGCCAAAGGCTGAGGGAAAAACAGAGGGAGAGGAAGTAAGAGGAGAGGTGTAAAGATAAGATATAAGAGCTGAAAGAACTTGAACAAACCACAGATTTTTCTGGGGATGGAAAAAGGGTGTCACCAAGGATTATACATGAAAATCTCACAAAGATAAAAGGCCCAGAAATATGGAGAGACAAAGCATCAAAGGATGAGATCACTTTGTCATTCCTTTCTTTTTATCTTGTAGCAACTTGCCTTTTGCAATTTGTGCCATTACTTCATTGCACAGAAGGGTTAACGATCTCAGAAAAACCCACTGGGAGCTTTGAGTGAGCACGAAAATAAAGTTGAGCAGAAGTTGGAAGAAGATTATAAGTGTATGAAATAATATCCAAATCTCTCATGAGTTTGAAAGCTGTCCAATATTCATTATGAAGAGATCTGATGCCTTTAATACAGATCTATTTTGAAAAAGCGTTATTAACTTTGGTAGGTGTCTTGCCTAAGGGCCTCAGTCAGAGAGTGATCATGAGTCTACATTTTTTATAGTTTGTACTTAATCCTTTATTACATGCGTGGACTGCTGATTCCCCTGCTCGCCATAAAGAACAAGCATCCAGAGAGGTTATGCATGCCACCCCCTGCTCTGTAAACAGAAGACAGCCAAACATAAAGTATGAGTCGTTTAAAATTTATTGCACGTAAAAAAAATCATAATAAAAAAAAATAACACAGCTACTGGCATTGCTGAATACAGAAAACACTTGAGAGATGTTGAGTAAGTGGAAGTTGACTTTTTTATTTATATTTTTATGTATGTATTAGGTGGAAACTACAGTTGTACCAGTGAGTCTGTGAGGCTGGCCTAAATGCTAAATGCTCACATATTAATATTTAGCAGGTGCAATTCCACATCTTTATTTTGCTAATATTAGTAAATCAGCACTAAAGACAATTTATAGCTGAGGCTGATAGGAATGTTCTTATTTTCAACATTTCAGTTTTGATCAAA